AAAATAAGGCATTTTTTAAGAGTTCAACATTCAGGTGAGGATAATTGGAAAAGTTCACATGCACACATATACCCTTCTCTCCACAGTGCGTAACTATGGAGCTCTGGTGCAAAACGAATAGCTTCAGCTACACTTAACCCTGAACAGCAGCCATCTACACTGCATCACCAGCATAGTGCTGGCTGCTGAGACTTACCTGTCTCCTCTTGTGCATGGGGAAAATGGAGCCCCAAAGAGGTGCTCCCAAAGATACCCATTCCCAGAATCTGATTTCTCACTTTTCAGAATATTTTAAAGTACAGGAACAGGCAACTTGATGTCCTCCAGATTCCTAGGATCGCAGCATCCCACAATCCTTTTTGTCCACCATATTAGATTGTCCTAATGTAAACTGTAGTCCAGTATACCTGATAGGCATTAAATTGCCTATACCGACTTTAAGCAATAAAAAGTGGTAATTAGCCCCACCACCCTTTCAGTCTTTAAACGACAACAGAACCAAGAGAAGCTTGTGGCTTATTTTCAGGGATAGGCACCTTTTTTTAAGGGCTACACCTTTCCAGTTATTGTTTCTTTTGTGGAGGAGGTTACATCAGATGTGTTAAGCCTATCGTACAGGTTACACATTTTTTGTTTTGTTTACCCACAAACAGCAGGAAGCCATACAACCACTTTTCTTCTTTAGCTCTTGGAAGGCAACAGTTTTGGGAGAGAGAGGCATCAACGTTTTCATTTTAAAGTTTATTAACAATTTTCTGCATAAATCCATGGCTGTGTGGAAATTATTCTGCTGTTCTGTTCTCTAATGCATGGGGCTACTTGTAGCAGAAGGAATGATTTCATGGCATTTCCTATGGAATGATGTATCATGATAATCTCAAAATTGCCCAGAATTTCAAACACGTGCACCAGCATAATAGCGTATTCTTGGCCTCAACAACTTACTGAAAAGCATTTAATAACATAATTTTATAGGGTACCATTGGAATGATTAAGTATTGTGGCAACTTTTGTTGGCTTAACATTCACTAGGTATTCAAATGTCAAAATAAGTCTTTAAAAATTTCTTGAAAATAAGAAAGCAATGAAACATAATTATCCCTGACAGCATCTTTATACTGAAAAGATCCATGCATTTTTCTATGAACAATAGGAACCTTTTCCCCAAAAAATATTCTTTAATATTTTTGTTAACCTGTACCAGATGAAAGTACATAGAAATAGGCTTTAGTTTCCTAAATATTTCTACAAATATAAAGTTGACAATCTGAGAGAGAAAAATATCTGCTTTCTGAAATTGTATACATATCTAAAATACCCATATAAAAGGTAATATTTTAACTATAAAAATATATCTGAGATCAATTTCAGCTGGATTACTTCTTTATAAAAATCAGAATTATTTTAACAAATTACTACCAGGTTTACAGATAGAGTCTTGAAATTAGGTACGTTAATGTCTCTGTGTATTATCTTTGGTTTGTAATTTTAGTTTCATTGTGGTATAAAATGGGCAGAACTAAGGGTCTTTGCATTTGTTCAGTCTCTGTATGCAGGCAACAGGATCTTCAAAGAACATACATGATGTATGTTCACTTGAACTAATCTTTCAAAGATCTTTTCCTACCTGCTGACTAAATACACATGCAAAAAGTTAAGGTATTCTCCAGTAGCATTTGTTCAGTTGTATAAAACATCAAGAAACTGGAATAACTATGATACGTTATATACTTCATGTCTTCATGTGCCTCCAACTAAAGGAACCCATTGCTTTTATCAATAATGATAAACAGCACATTAAAAAAAATTAAATTGCCTACCTTTGAAACCAAATATATGGTCTCAACGAAGTAGTGCAGGTTAGAATTTACAGTTTGAAGGAAAAATATGTATATGAAACTGAAAAGCCTTCTTCCAGATATACAAAAAATACAGAGGTGGCCTTGTGCCCTGACATGACAAAAGTAAACAGAAATCACACAACTGGGAACTCTGAATGCATGGATTTGGAGCTCATGGACTCTGTATAAACCAAAACATGTGAATGCTCATTGCAGATGTGGAGTTCATTGCTTGTCAATTTACATGCAGTCAAGAGGTCTAATACAATGGGCTAAGGAATAAATGTGAATATATCCTGATTAAATATGTTAATGGACATTTACAACTGATGGCAGTTTTAGCTTCTCTGTAATTTAACTGCAATTAAAAGTTAACAAGCGTTTAAAATTAAAATACAGCTCATGAAATTCAATCATTTGATTGACAGAAGGTACATGTCCATATATCCTGATTTAATGAAGATTCCAGTTGTGCCAGAGGAATGCTTCACATAATTTCATGCTTTCTTTCGGTACTCTGCCATGCAACAATTTCTAAATAATATTTTAAGAGTCTTTAAATTGTAGAATTTGAACAGAGATTTTTGACCTTTCATTTTAATGTTTTAAAAATCAAATTCCCTTGAATTTCACAAAAAAGCCTCTCCCTTCTTTTCTTACACACTTTTATGGCAATAAAGATCTTTTAAAGTTTTTAGTTCTTCAATTAGAGTTTTGTTCTGGTTTTCGAGGACAGCAACTCGATTTTCAAGACATTTAACATATTCTTTCTTCTTTCTCCGGCATTCTCGAGCTGCTTCTCTGAAATCCAAATGCAAAAATATGTTAATTACCTTACAGAAGTCAAAATACTTTCCAATCATTAACACTGCATTTTTGCCTAGAGAAGATGGTAGTCATTATAGTTTTTAAAAAATGATTTCCTTATCATTTTTTAAAATTAAATCTTTAAAAACATCCTGGTTTTATTTGGTATAAAATATGGAAAGAAAGAAACAGCCAAGATTGTCTACAGTTAAATGAGTCCAAGAAAAAGCAAGGCCCTGCAACCCTGTATGAATGTGCTATAACCCTAAGGAACATATCCACTGAATATGGCCCCATACCCACAGAAGGATGTAATATAGTCAGAAGCCCTATTCAGGATTTGCCTGAAAGCACAGAAAACATAAAGCACATAGAAAACTGGAGAGTGCATTCAACCCTCGTTCCCATGATGCATCCAGGTGGGAAGTATGGAGGGAAGTCATCAACATGATCCAGAACCCTTTTTTACTCTAGCCCTGGATCATGCAGAGGCCTGAATTTGAATTCAAGCAAACACAAGTATAGCTGTAACTCAGCACAACTGCCTGAATATGTGAAGAGGGTGGTTGGGCTGCTTGCATAGCTGCATTTTCTTCCCGCTTTAAGATCTCCATATTTCTGAGTGAACACTTGAATTAGGCGAGTGTTTTTCTCATTTCTCCGTGTTGTGTATTGTCAACAGTTTCAATCTGACGTCCCAATAATTTCATGGCTTCCATAAACTGCCTTTTAAGTATAGTGACACATCAAACTTCTTACATTGCAGAAAACTGGGGGGGGGGGG